ATGAGGTTGAAATATATTGTATAAAACCTTAACGGTTTGAAGAAAGCCATTTCACGGTGGAGATATGAAGCATCCGATAAACGGAAAAGCACGCTTATACTATATATGCAATAACATTGAATTTAAGAAAGTTTTAGTTCTTCTGAGAATTTTAAAACATCTCTCCTCGTGAGCGCGCAGTGTCATGACTCATCTTCTTATGCGAGACTCTTATGCGCTTATAGAGACAAAAAAAACAAGATTTGTCCTCGTATGCCCGTCTATTGCGTCCTATTTAGGTCAAAATCTTCAACAGTTAGTGGTTATATGATAAACTGCTTATTGACTGAGTTTGGTTGGGCAGGACGCGAAAATATTTGGCTCTCGGTCATCAAGCAAGGACCTCGCTGCGCTCCTACCACTCAATCAATAAGTACACAGTACTTCGGTTTTGTACGTCACACTTTTATCACCCATTGTAATTGAACATGAAAAATGAAAAGTTTTATTCTATTTTTAATGGGGAACGTCAAGCTTAAGTGTTGAGTCTTTGAAAAGTTTGATTTATATCACAAGATTGATCACAGTACAACCTAAGTTTCTTTCTTTAAACGGTAACCTATCTTTGCGTGACAATCGACTCCTTGTCTTCGTGAACTTTTCATTTTCCAGCGGAGGTGATTTGCATGACCGAGGCCAGAATTGCTAAAAAAAAAAACTGAGTGACTATATTTCGATTTAGCACGTCACACTTTTCTGACTAATGATGGATTTTAGCGTCCAAAAATGAAACATCTTACTCTGTTTAACCAAAACGTCAAGCTTCAGTGTTCATCCTTTTTGGAACGATTGGATTTACTTGAAGAGATCGATGAGATCGAGAGTACAACTAAAGCCTCTGTCTTTAAACAGTAAGCTATCAGTGGTGAAAATTGACTCATTGTACTCATGGACTTTTCATTTTCTTGTGGGTGTGATTCATAAATTGATGGTTTGTTTTTTCTCGAGACGCGAGCCTGATGTCAGCCTCTGCTGACATCAGTAAAGGACATTCTGCATAATAACTATGCCTTGATGTAGGATTGAGTTAAGTTTTTGATCACGTGATTGCGGAAACCGTTATTTTCTCAAATTAAACAATGCTGAGCAATCTTAGCTAATGAGGTTAAAATATATTGTACAAAACCCTTACGGTTTGAAGAAAGCAATTTTACGGTGAGGATATGAAGCATCCGTTCAACGGAAAAGTACGTTTATACTATGTATGTAATAACATTGAATTTAAGAAAGCTTCAGTTTCCCTGAATTAAAACATCTCTCTTCGTTAGCGCGCGGAGTTACTACTTATCTTTTTATGCGAGACTCTGGCGCTTAAACAATGTATAATGCTTTAGCTTGATTTAAATAAAATACCTTTTTTTTCAAATTGACAATTACATACGTTTAGTTTTTATACGATGGATGATGAAGATCAACCTGAAGGACCACCCCCTGCAGGCAGTGATTTAGGTAAGTGTCAACGGTAATATTTTCTTTTCTTCTATAATGCTATGATTCCACAAAATGTCATGCAACTGTACACAGTGAATAGTCTTTCCCCTCTGTAGGAAGTTGGAAAAGTGACATCATAGCCTCCTTGAAATACAACTTTCCAGTAAAAGTCTAAGCAATAAGAAATGATGTCTGGTTAGCAAACTGTTTTTCCTTTGACCATTTCCAGTAAAGTAGAAGTTCATAATTTTGCAATATTACCATCACTTGGTTCAATATTGTCACTTCAGAGAAACCTTTTCTGATACAATTATAGAAATTGTGCAGTATTTTTAATAAACTTGTTCATACCAAGTATTGTTTTTTTCATAAAATAGATGTGGACAAGAAAAATAATAAAAAAGAGGTGTGGAAGAAGTGGAATGGTGAAGTAAAGTAAATAGTAACCTAACAACAACTGAAATTACAATAAACTTGGCTAACATTTGTTTTAGATGCCATTTTCCACAGTATTCAGAAAATCTTTAATTTATCATGCTCATGCGAAAAGAAGTTAAATTTTAGAAACAGTATGGGGCCCAAGAAATATTTTTCAATCTGTAACAAACAGAGATTATTCCATGGAAAGTGTGCTCAAATGAGATTTATTGCATCAAACAAAAATTAACATGTGAGCCTAGTGAACTAGTGAATTTTTTTTATCAACGCGACAAGTGGATAAAAATTGTTCAAGCATTTTCCATGGTATGATGCTTCCATTTCATACATACCAAAATTTTTTTCTTACTGTCCAACAAAGATTGGAAGCTAACAACTGTGAAAATACATTGTTCGTTTCATTAAAGCCACAAATGATACTAATTAATAACAGCGTAAATCCGTATTTGTATTAAAATAAATTCCATTTCTAAACAATTCTCAAATAGAAGATTAAATAATTTTTCAAAGATTTAGAGGCAAGAAGGAAAAAAAAAGGTGATACTATATGATTATTTTTGACTGTTGACAAAGAAATTAAAGTTTAATATAGATCAAATAAAAATCCCTTTGAAGTTCCATTGCAACAGTTTCCAGCACATACACATATACAAAGACTGTTTTATTTCCAATCCAACAAAAGCTGCCATAAGCAGTCATTGAAAGATAAAAATCTATGATAATACAAATAGGGATTTTAGGGCAAAAGGGTAATTTATTTAGATCTTGTGAGTATAGTTGTCAGTTGGGTAACATCTCCTTGCAAGTGCATTGCCTTACCTCAACTTTTCATTTTTTTTTTCTATCAAAGAAATAAAAAATGTTTCAACTTAGGAGGGAGAGGCCACTCCTACACGGTGGATGTGGTGACCATGCCCAACACGTCAACCATATTAAAAATATAAAATATGAATCAAAATGAAATCAACTGTCTCTCATTCATTTTATAAATGTAAATTTGCAGCAGATTAATTCAGCCATAACTGCAAATGATAACTTCTTACTAAGCCTGAGGGCCATAAGAGAACATTTTCCTGAGTTGCTCACAAAAACAACGGATGGCCAATATTCCTCAGTAGAATTTTAGCAAGAAAAGTTAGCAAGTGATTCATCACATTGCAACTGGACTAAACTTTTTAGTTTTAAATTTGGTACCTTTCAAAACAAAAATACATGGATTATGATCGTTTCACAGGAAACGGTCTGCATGGAAAAGTGCAGAACAAGTAAGAACCAGATCAGTGCTGGTAATTACCTCCATACTACCGTAGTTATTCGGTTTTAGATAAGGCGCACTCGGCTATAAGACGCAAAACCCAATTTGGCAATTTCATTATTGCATGTTTTCAAACTGAAAATATCGCTAAAATACTTGGTTATAAGGCGCATCGTTGTTTGGGGAGTAAAGATTGGTCAAGTTTATTGTAAATTCTTTCATAAACTTACAAAAAAGCGAAAAAGTCGCGTATTGATTTTAGTTTACCGTTAATTAACAAAAGCAGAATTGTCGCACACGCGACCACGCGCACAAACAAAAGCCTTGATTAAACAAAAGCAAAATGTCACACACATAAACAAAAGCCGAAAAATGTCACACATTTAATCACAGTGATAAACAAAGGCAAAAAAGGTCACACATTTAATGACAACCTATCGGTACACATTAATTTTTAGCCTTCCCTCTCGGGAAACATGGTTTTAAAGTATAAAAACAATTCGATCAACAAAATCAGTAGTCGCAAATTTACTTCACCTGGTGAACATTATCTTGCGAAGTCTACATTCAGCACAATCGAGCCAAACACTCGCCATCATTCTTACGATCTCAACTTTAAGTTGAAAATGGTAATTGAAGCTGAAGCTGTTAACAACAATCGAGAGATAGCGAGGGAATACGGAATTACCGAATCAATGGTTTGGAAGTGGCGCAATCAGCAGGACATCTTGTATCACCTTGTCAAGCGCGCTTCCATGGGCTGTTAACCGACCAAAAGATCCCGAACTTCATCAACCGTAGGCCGACCGGTTCAGTGATCAAAGGAGCCAAGGTAAGCAAATGCCTTCTTATCTAATACATTAAAGTTCACACGGCAACCAGCTGGCCAATCAGACATAGTTTGATGCTACTCTGGTTTGCAGATTTAACGAATGTAACCGAAGTTACAATTCATAGACCAAACGTTTCGACACTCCTGTCTAGTGCCTTCATCAGGGGTGATCTAGACGCAAAAGAGGTCCTTTTTCTATGATCACTAATTAGCGGCCTTTTTTTTTTTTGACGGGTGTAAATAAGCGTCAGGAAGCAAACCACCATCGTCACGATCTAAACCTCCCCCCATTCAAAAGGATGTTTCCAATGCACTTATAGCTCTCAAAAAGGATCCGGACAGGCTCGTATTATCTGCTGGCAAGGGTAATTGTTGTGGTTATGGACAAACAGCAATATCACGACAAAGCTTTGACTCTGCTTAATGACAAGAGTACGTATGCTGTCTTAAACTCTGATCCTACCAGTAAAACCTCAAAGAAAGTTAAACAAAATGTTGCTTGATTTGCAAAAAGCTGGTAAAATTAGTGATTCTACGTACAAAATGTTAGACAGTAGTGACGGCTTATGTCCACGTTTTTATAAAATTCATAAACCGGGAATTCCTTTGAGACCCGTTGTGTCTTTTGTTAATTCTCCGACTTATGCAATTTCTGGTTATCTTGCGAGAATTTTGTCGCCTGTTGTTGGGAATACTGATTACACTGTCAAAAATTCCTGCGAATTTGCGGATTTCATAAAAGATAAAACGCTTGTGAAGAATTAGTATCTTTCGACGTTGTTTCACTCTTCACTAAAATCCAAATGGGCAAATGGCTATACGAAAACTTTTCTCCGTAACTGCCAAAAACCAGTTACAAATAGTAACGCTCTTGATGAAAGGGAACCAGCGACTGGTTTTGCTGTTATTCCTTACATACAGGGTGTTACGAATCAACTTATTCTACAACAGATGATCTCTTTATTCCAAGACATGATTACTACCATATTTCAGAAATCTAACTCATAGCCAATTGGCAGAGATTTTTCTGCATTTAAGAGTCGACAAGCTTCGCGCAGGGTGCATAGCACAAGAGGCAAGTGACCTGTTAAAAATTGAAGTATTGACATGCCCGCATGACACTCCCGCCATCTGCAAGCGATTTTAAACTTCTGTCTCCAAAGATCAGTTCTGGCCAAGATATACTTTAATGTTTTTTGGCGATGTGATTTTGAATGTGACATTTCCACATCAGCGTGTTCTTGAGCTTTTGTAAAGCCGGAAGTGATCCTTCTCTACTGGAGCAGGTAACTTGAGACACGTATTTCTCCAGAAGTTCGTCAGGTATCCTCTTTCCTCTCTTTTAGTCGTATTTTTAAGCTCTGTACGATTTTTTTAAATGTGAAGTGCTTCGGACTTATTTTTAGGATGCGCAACGCTTCTCCTTTTGCGAATCCTATCTTAACGCCACTTAAAAAGTGTTTACGTGCCGGCACGACTCCTGCTAGGCGTTGAGCTAGTACAAACGAATCTCTCCGCAGTTACCCGTATATTAACAAGAACAAATATGGAAGGTATTCTTAATAACTAAACCTTACAAAAGGCTTGAAAACACAAAAATTAAACCAGATTTTAGTGGTTTGTTTAAAACTTAAACTACTGTCTTAACTTTACTGAATTCGTTTTACTCAAAAGCCTTACGTAGGTCAACATTGTTTCGTGCTTATTATATCAGAATGTAATTTTTGCGTGAAAAACATAAAAAATGGTGAGTACATAACCAGTACCTCCTCCTGAGAATATCAGAAAAGAAAGCACCAAAAATTGGAATAAATCTCCCCTAACCTGGGATAGCTCTTTTTTTTAATGTCGATGAAATACCGGATAGAGTATTTTCTCTACTTATTACTATTTAATTTATCCATCTAAAAGTCTTTTAACTCCGTTCCCTTCGAGTACTTGTCATTATTTACTCTATCGGGGTCTTTTTTCCTGCAAGAAAAAATTTGAAATAACCCAATTTATTATTACCTCAATTAATATTTTGGATATAAAGCAAACACAATTACACCAAGCACGATATATAAAAATAATTGGCTACTACTTGTATCTCATTGGTAGAGAGGCATCTGTGAGATTCTATATTTTACACCAGAGAGCGGAGATAGTAACTCTTAAAAAAGGAAAAAAAAGTGTGCGTAAATATATATATATATATATATATATATATATATATATATATATTTATATTTATGTATATGTACATATATATATATATAGATATTAAATTAGCCTTGATGTTCAAGGTAACAGAGGATCCCCATCCGGTCAACGACCAGTAAGTCATGACCATCCTCACATCTAATTTAACTTTAATTTATGAAATACCTGTTCTCACCGAGTCTTGCCTCTGGTTGTCAAACTCGAGTCTAACATCATCTCCAATCAGCGTAAACGAAGCCCACTCAGAGATTTTGTTCAAGGGGTTTTTTCTCATCCACTTCATGGCCTGATGAAGGGATTCACTGGCACTTCCACCTTCAATGAGGTGTTCGTAGAACCGACTCATCAGCTGCTCTGTTGCTGAGTCTGGAATGGCCCACAGCGCAACCAACACCGAGCGAGCACCGGATCCTAAGAACGCACGGGCAATTCCTATAACTCCTTCGGCTCTTATCTCTCCACTTCCACTGTGACAGCAGCTAAGTACCACCAGTTTAGCTCTGACTTTCACTCGTGAGACATCAGCCATCGTCAACATGTAAGCTTCCTTCGGTGGGATAGCGGTTTGACTGTTGGGACAGGGATTGGGGGAGAGTGCAATTTCCCCTCTTTCCGCGTCACCATGGGCAGCAAAATGTATCAGGCTCACTGAACTTATCCGCTCAAGTACCGCCTGCTTCGTTGCTTTCTCTTCAACTAGAGGCGGAACACCCACCAGTTGCCCAACCATCTCCGCTTCCTTTCTTGCAGCTGGCAATGGTTGCAGCCAATTAACCTTGGGATTGCCTATTACCAAGGCACCAGTGTTGCTGTGATAGTCCTCTGGACTATCTTGAATGTTCTTGAGTGTTGTCAACGAAGGAATGATACGGATCTTATGAGTCTCTGACAAGTATTTGGCTCCCTCCTTTTCACTCAGGGCAGCAAAGGGAACTTTGTACAACCTGCGGTCAGGAACAATAATTACTTCAGGCTCATCAAGCAAATCATAAACGGGGGCAATGAACATTTTGTAACACAAGTATAGACTTGAAATCACTTTCTCGTCCTCGTCCTCGTCCTCGTCCAAAAGTCGCAATCTTGCTGAGCTCTTTTGCGCGGGGGAGAGAGGTTGCAATTTAATCGTATTTAAAGACCGATCTTCACAATCTTTAGTGGGCAAAATACCAAGACTCCGGAAATTATAATCCAAAAATTGACTCACAGACAAATCTTTGGGTAACCCAGCCTGAACTAGATTCTCTTCTGGTGATACTCTTCTATAGTGAAGGACTCCACTTGTTTTCAAGATCCACAAATGCAGACGATTCTGAAAATAAGAAATGTACAGACAAGTACAGTTTCTTATCTTTCTTAAAATATCCTCAATGCCAAACCAAGATTGTCGATTAGCAGAGATGTGCGTTTCAACCGAGTACTTCTCTGCCATTAAGTCTGATAGGCCTCTAGCTCGACCCAACTCCTCAACATAAAGAGCATCCCGAGCATTTCTGGTGTCACAAAGCAAAGTAGAAAGCAGCTTGTAGGGGAATATTCCTGTGTCCTCCAGAAATGATGTTTTGAACTGATCATTGGCGCCCAAGAAATATCTCAGCTCCTCATACTTTTCAATGCACAGGTGAAGACACGACAGGGAGTCTTTGATTTTATCTTGATATAAATACAAAACGGCGTAACCTCGGAGGATTTCAAACTCTACTTTTCCATCTCCAATATCTCTGGATATGAATAAAGCTTTCTCCAAGCATACTTCCGAAGCTCCAAAATCACCAACAGTTCTAAACAAAATTCCAAGGTTTCCGTAGTCAGTTGCCTCCCCTTCTCTGTCGCCAATTTCAGTTGTGATGACAAGCGCTTTGTGGAAATACTCTTCAGCCTTGTCGTATTGGCCAAGCGACGTAAACACAGTACCTAGGTTTCCATAGCATGATGCTTCCCCTCCTCTGTCGCCAATTTCAGTTCTGATGACAAGCGCTTTTTGGAGATACTCTTCAGCCTTGTCGTATTGGCCAAGCGACCAAAACACAGCACCTAGGTTTCCATAACATGATGCTTCCCCTTCTCTGTCGCCAATTTCAGTTGTGATGACAAGCGCTTTTTGGAAATACTCTTCGGCCTTGTCGTATTGGCCAAGCGACGTAAACACAGTACCAAGGATTCCGTAGTCAGTTGCCTCCCCATGTCTGTCGCCAATTTCAGTTGTGATGACAAGCGCTTTTTGGAGATACTCTTCAGCCTTGTCGTATTGGCCAAGCGACCTAAACACAGTACCTAGGTTTCCATAACATGATGCTTCCCCTCGTCTGTCGCCAATTTCAGTTGTGATGACAAGCGCTTTTTGGATATACTCTTCAGCCTTGTCGTATTGGCCAAGCAACTTAAACACAGTACCAAGGTTTCCGTAGTCAATTGCCTCCCCTTCTCTGTCGCCAATTTCAGTTCTGATGACAAGCGCTTTTTGGAAATACTCTTTAGCCTTGTCGTATTGGCCAAGCGACTTAAACACAGTACCAAGGTTTCCGTAGTCAGTTGCCTCCCCTTCTCTGTCGCCAATTTCAGTTGTGATGACAAGCGCTTTTTGGAGATACTCTTCAGCCTTGTCGTATTGGCCAAGCGACTTAAACACAGCACCTAGGCTTCCATAACATGATGCTTCCCCTTGTCTGTCGCCAATTTCAGTTCTGATGACAAGCGCTTTTTGGTGATACTCTTCAGCCTTGTCGTATTGGCCAAGCGACAAAAACACAGTACCTAGGCTTCCATAACATGATGCTTCCCCTTCTCTGTCGCCAATTTCAGTTGTGATGACAAGCGCTTTTTGGACATACTCTTCAGCCTTGTCGTATTGGCCAAGCAACTTAAACACAGTACCAAGGTTTCCGTAGTCAATTGCCTCCCCATGTCTGTCGCCAATTTCAGTTGTGATGACCAGCGCTTTTTGGAGATACTCTTCAGCCTTGTCATATTGGCCAAGCGACCTAAGCACAGTACCTAGGTTTCCATAACATGATGCTTCCACTCGTCTGTCGCCAATTTCAGTTGTGATGACAAGCGCTTTTTGGAGATACTCTTCAGCCTTGTCGTATTGGCCAAGCAACTTAAACACAGTACCCAGGTTTCCGTAGTCAGTTGCCTCCCCTTGTCTGTCGCCAATTTCAGTTCTGATGACAAGCGCTTTTTGGAGATACTCTTCAGCCTTGTCGTATTGGCCAAGCGACCTAAACACAGTACCTAGGTTTCCATAACATGATGCTTCCCCTCGTCTGTCGCCAATTTCAGTTCTGATGACAAGCGCTTTTTGGAGATACTCTTTAGCCTTGTCGTATTGGCCAAGCGACATAAACACAATACCAAGGTTTCTGTAGTCATTTGCCTCCCCATGTCTGTCGCCAATTTCAGTTCTGATGACAAGCGCTTTTTGGAGATACTCTTTAGCCTTGTCGTATTGGGCAACGGACAGAAACACAGTACCAAGGTTTCCATAACATGATGCTTCCCCTCGTCTGTCGCCAATTTTGGTTGTTATGGCAAGGGCCCTCTCAAAATATTCCTTTGCTTTTAGGCTTTCGCTAAGTTTATAAAGCATAATTCCATACCCTCTGTATAAGTCAAACAGTTTCCTTCCGTATCTTTCCGCACTTATGTAGTCAGAGATATGACGATAAGCGCTGAAAAGAATGGTATAGATGTCGCTGTAAAATTGTAGCAGTGCTGAATCAAATTGGTCTTCGCTGTTTTGATCGGTGCCATTTAGCAAAATCAAACATTCGCTGCATATCTCAATGGCTTTCTGAATGCGATCTGAGTTGAGCAAGAACAGGGCAACAAATAAGGCGAGGCTCATGAAAGGTGTCATGGCTTCTGCTGTTAGGTTTCCATTGCAATCCTCAACTGTTATCAGGGAAACATTATTTTTAGTAACACAATACTAAATGGTCGATAATCTTGATTAATAACGAGTCACTTCAAACAGGAACACACATGTTAAGTTACAAAAAAAAGAAAGTGTTGGAATTCACAATATCTACTTAAAAACAAAAAAAAAAACAAAAAAGTGAAGAAGTCGGTTGGTCACCTTTCATTTTCCTCAAGTTGGGATTTTTGCAGAACATTACATGACTTTAAAGTCATTGGACAAGTTTAAAAAACTGACAGACTTTATCTTAACTTTTGCAATGAGAACTATAGCGGAGCTCGCAAAGCGTAGCCCCAAAATTATGCAAAATAGTAGTAGCCCATCAAGCCGAAAAAATTTGGATGTACGACCGTTCGACCGTACAAGGTGCTTCTTTTAACATGCGTGGTCAACTGTACCGCGGGCACGCCAACGCCACGGCTTTGTCCAGTAGTTCAGTGGTCAGTGCACTGGGCTGCGAGTTGGGCGACCCGGGTTCTAGTCCTGGCCGGGGCAAGGCGTTGTGCCCTTGAGACGTGCGGGGTAAAAAAAAATACGAGCTCCGCTTTTAGGCTTGGCTAAATCTATATATTATACTTTGACCTAGGTTTTTTGGTTCCTTCATCTCGTCACGTGATGTAAAAGAAACATTTTGCCCTTAGGTTGTATCATATTCCTACCGATTTCTGTCTTTCATCTTTTTGTGAGTGAACGTTAAAAGCCAAAAATCTATTATGTACATCCTCGATGTTGGAGCAGTCTGAAGATTAGTGAAAAGTCTTACAAACTTCAAAGAGAACTTAAAGATTATCCGCAAATGGGCTTAAAGGAATGACAATGGAATTAATTGTAGTTTTAAAACAGTTACAATTGGAATATAATAAATCAATGTTAAGAAAGCTCATACAGGTTATAAACAAATAGATACCAAATGATAATCGCATAAAAAAAAAAATAAATTACTAAGAGTTTTGGTTTTAATATTCAGTTTTTTCTACCTTTGTTCACATTTCACTCAGGTGATAGACAGTTGTGCCTGACTTAAACTACATTCATATTTGAAAATCAAAAAGTTTCATTGTTACTAAGAATTTGTCACAGGATTTGTGATCGAACTAGAACTTCTGGTGTTTCTAATCGTATGAGGAAACTAAAAAAAATTTCTCTTCCCAGTGTCTCAACTTTCTAGATAATTAGGAAACCGGAAACAGAAAGAAATGGGAAAAGAGATTCCCTTCTTAATTGATAATGAAGCTCATTGATTCAATCAATGAAGAAGATTGAAGAATAAGAGGCTTGGTTATATCATGTATTGTGAGGTAAGGAAGCTACCTTTTCTCAAAGGAAACAAACTGCTGCCATGTGTCATAGCCTGACTCGCTGATTTATTGCTTTGATTAAAAACAAACAAAAAAGACAAGAATAAAATGCAAATTCAGCTAATGAAAAATTCCATGGAAATCAAAAGAAATCAGAAAGGAATTAGAAAGGAATATTCTACAATATAAGTTCTAGTTTCCCCATCCTTAGTTTATTGATTTTGTTAAACCGGCTGTTAAAACGTATGTGCAATGCAGACCATTAGGACCACTCTATTTTATTTCTTATTCATGAATAATACAAGAATGATTACTGAGAAAATTGCTCTGGTTTTCTTGAGAACTATTCGACAGTTTAAATAATGTACCGTCCAAAATGTTTGTACTGGAAATTCCCTCGCTCGATTTTATCGAAACACCGTTCTCTTGGTTCATTACCGAGATGATCACAGATGTAAGTTATTGACATTCGGCAATATGGCAACATTTGCAAAGATTGTTCATTTTAAAAGCAATGAGCGCATTTATCAGACGAATTTCTCTGAAAACGAATATTTTCTTATTAGATGAGGATCATTAATAAGATGCGAGACCACAAAGGTTTAATATGATCGCCTTATAACAAATTCATTTTACTTCGGTGGCGAATTTTACACAAAGTTACAGTACTTTAAAGTGACAGGAAAAATATTAACCGGGAAAACAGGACCTTTTTATTTCAGGCTTTTCCATTAATTAAAACGTTACTCATGCAAAATTACTCTAAATAGCAATATTCTAGTGCTATTTACTTGATACATGACAGAATTCTGGATATCTTTTTACTTGCACTTACCAAGTTGTCGACTTCGTGGTTGATCCTTTTGAAAGTGAAACGACAGAAAAGAATTTAATGAAAGACAGTTAGGACTTTTCCTTATATTCCAAAACCTCCGCCTCTTGACTTAACTTAACCGCGACCATTTTGTCTCAGACCAACTAGAAAGATACACCTTAGTACTACAGCGTTCTGGAAACTTTCCTGACATTCTGCAATATGGCAACATTTGAAAAGATTGTTCTAGCGGTTTATTACCAAGTAATGAGTTTACTTATCATACCAATGTCCCTGAGAGCGAACCTTTTTATAGTTGATGAGGATCATTGGTAAGATGTGAAGCCATAAAGCTTTAACGAAGTCGCTTTGAAACAAATAAATTTCATTTTGGCTGCGATTTTTGCATAACATTACATTTGACTTGATAGGCATAGGACAAATATTAACCAAACAGCATTTATTTTAGGCTTTGCCATTAAAACGTTACTCATGCAGAGTTACTCAAAATAACAATAGACTATATTACTTAATCATTTGTAGAAGATAGAAAGCTATATACCCCTGTATTAAACACTTTTACTCGTACTTAGCAAGTTGTTGACTTCGTATCGGATGCTTTTGAAAGTAAAAAGACAAAAACAGTGAAACACAGTCGGGACTTTCCCTACATTCCAAAACTTTCGCAGTCGAGTGACAATTACTGTGATTGTTTTGTTATTCAGATGAGTGCGCAAACTTTCATAACTTGCTAAAGGTATATTTTTTGATGTTAAAACCATTCTTTACGATTCTTTCTTTTTAAACACCTGAAATCGTTTATTTGTAAACCTTCAGCTGACAATTTGATATAAATCTAATTCACAAAAGTTTTTCCTGTTGGCCGCATTTTCACTTTTATTTAAACTTATGTTCTTAACTCGCCGCTAAGCGAAGCATAGTAACATGTTTCTGCGTAGACTTCAACATGTAAATGTGCCACCCGCCTACTCACTCACTGACTCACTCAAGTGTAGACATTGTTGGGAATAAGAAACTTTAATCTCGTTTTTTATAATCCAAACAGAATCTTTAGTTTTACTAATCACGTGGGGAAACTCGAAAAATGTTTCCCCTCAGTCTCACTTAAGTTTCACTTTTCAACCCCTTAGGATAAAGCATCCTAATTTTTTTTTTCATGAATAATGCAAGACATTTAACCGCTGAGGTATTTTTTGGCTTTTCTTGAGAACTATTCAACAATTTCTATGATGTGGTACAAGCCGGACACAGACTCGACTTCTCCCTTTTTTCGAACTAGTAGTTCCTTTGCACCATTTTATTGAAAAAATATTATTTACTGTGTTATGAACGAGCGAGAGAGAGATGATCGCAGATGTAAATCAGTGATGACCATGTATTGAATACTGACTGAAAGTAGTATTCAATGAGTTTTAATTGCTAACAGTCTTAGCCCAACAAGAAAGATACATCTCAGTACTACAGCGTTCTGGAAACTTTCCTGACATTCTGCAATATGGCAACATTTGAAAAGATTGTTCTAGCGGTTTATTACCAAGTAATGAGTTTACTTATCGCACTAATGTCCCTGAGAACGAACCTTTTTATAGTTAATGAGGATGATTGGTGAGATGTTAAGCAATAAAGCTTCAACGAAGTCGCTTTGAAACAAATAAATTTCACTTTGGCTGCGACTTTTGCATAACATTACATGACTTGATAGGCACAGGACAAATATTAACAAAACAGCATTCATTTCAGGCTTTGCCAGTAAAACGTTATTAATGCAAAGATACTCAAAATAACAATAGACTATCAGTAATTCATTTGTAGAAGATAGAAAGCTGTGTACCCCTGTATTAAACACCTCTACTCGTACTTAGCAAGTTGTTGACTTCGTAGTGGATGTTTTTGAAAGTAAAAAGACAAAAACAATGAAATACAGTAGGGACTTTCCCTACATTCCAAAACACCCGCAGTCGAGCAACAATTACTGTTACCGTTTTGTTATTCAGATGAGAGCGCAAACGTTCATAACACGCCAGAGGTATATTTTTTAGATGTTTGAACCATTCTTTACGATTCTTTCTTTTTAAACACCTGAAATCGTTTGTTTGTAAACCTACAGCTGACAATTCACAAAAGTTTTTCCTGATGGCCGGCATGTTAACTTTGATTTTAAACTTATGTTCTTAACTCGCAGTTAGGCGAAGCATAGTAACATGTTTCTGGGTAGACTCCAATGTGTAAATGTGCCACCCGCCTACTCACTCACTGACTCACTCAGGTGTAGACATTGTTGGGAATAAGAAACTTTGATCTCGTTTTTTTATGATCCAAACAGAACTTTTGGTTTCACTAATCACGTGAGATTTTTCCCCTAAGTCCCTTATTTCTCCATCGGCAACTTGTTAATATTTTCAGCGATTGCGGTGTGCTTTTGTTGCGTAGCTTGGCATTTGGCAAAGATAATGTTATTGGAAAAAAAAGCTCCTCGTGACTTTGTATTCCACTTTCATAACAAAAGAAACCCAAACAAAACAATGTAAATTCAGCCACATGCAAATCAATGATTTTTCATCGCGAGTATTCAAAGAAGCAAGCAAGGAATGTTATCAGTATAATATCTAGTTTCCCTTTTCTTAGTTTTTCGTTTTTTTCTTTTATTTCGACCTTCAAAACGTTTATGTAATGAGACTCCTTAGGATCAAGCATCCTAATTTCTTGGTCATAAATAATACCAAAATCGTTGTTTGTATTTTGACTCACCTTACGAGCTCGTCAAAATACGACACAACTCGTAATAATACTCAGCGACACTACACACC